TGCTGTGTGGCATTTTCCTTCCCTCCTCCACCACCCCTCCTGGGATACCTTGGTAGTCATCCCCCTATTTGTGTGATGAATGAATAACGAATGCATGACTGTGAAGCAGCAATGACTTTATTGGCTCTGCAAGCAATGATTAAAGGGAGGAGGGGAGGGTGGTTAGCTTACAGGGAAGTAGAGTGAACCAAGGGGTGGGGGGGTTCATCAAGGAGAAACAAACAGAACTTTCACACCGTAGCCTGGCCAGTCATGAAACTGTTTTTCAAAGCTTCTCTGATGCGTACCGCGCCCTCCTGTGCTCTTCTAACCGCCCTGGTGTCTGGCTGCGCGTAACCAGCAGCCAGGCGATTTGCCTCAACCTCCCACCCCGCCATAAACGTCTCCCCCTTACTCTCACAGATATTGTGGAGCACACAGCAAGCAGTAATAACAGTGGGAATATTGGTTTCGCTGAGGTCTAAGCGAGTCAGTAAACTGCGCCAGCGCGCCTTTAAACGTCCAAATGCACATTCTACCACCATTCTGCACTTGCTCAGCCTGTAGTTGAACAGCTCCTGACCACTGTCCAGGCTGCCTGTGTATGGCTTCATGAGCCATGGCATTAAGGGGTAGGCTGGGTCCCCAAGGATACATATAGGCATTTCAACATCCCCAACAGTTATTTTCTGGTCTGGGAATAAAGTCCCTTCCTGCAGCTTTTGAAACAGACCAGAGTTCCTGAAGATGCGAGCATCATGCACCTTTCCCGGCCATCCCACGTTGATGTTGGTGAAACGTCCCTTGTGATCCACCAGAGCTTGCAGCACTATCGAAAAGTACCCCTTGCGGTTTATGTACTCGCCGGCTTGGTGCTCCGGTGCCAAGATAGGGATATGGGTTCCATCTATAGCCCCACCACAGTTAGGGAATCCCATTGCAGCAAAGCCATCCACTATGACCTGCACATTTCCCAGGGTCACTACCCTTGATATCAGCAGATCTTTGATTGCGTGGGCTACTTGCATCACAGCAGCCCCCACAGTAGATTTGCCCACTCCAAATTGATTCCCAACTGACCGGTAGCTGTCTGGCGTTGCAAGCTTCCACAGGGCTATCGCCACTCGCTTCTCAACTGTGAGGGCTGCTCTCATCTTGGTATTCATGCGCTTCAGGGCAGGGGAAAGCAAGTCACAAAGTTCCATGAAAGTGCCCTTACGCATGCGAAAGTTTCATAGCCACTGGGAATCGTCCCAGACCTGCAACACTATGCGGTCCCACCAGTCTGTGCTTGTTTCCCGAGCCCAGAATCGGCGTTCCACAGCATGAACCTGCCCCATTAGCACCATGATGCATGCATTGTCAGGGCCCATGCTTTCAGAGAAATCTGTGTCCATGTCCTGATCACTCACGGGACCGCGCTGACGTCGCCTCCTCGCCCGGTATCGCGTTGCCATGTTCTGGTGCTGTATATACTGCTGAATAATGCGTGTGGTGGTTAATGTGCTCCTAATTGCCAAAGTGAGCTGAGCGGGCTCCATGCTTGCCTTGGTATGGCGTCCGCACAGAAAAAAGGCGCGGAACGATTGTCTGCCGTTGCTCTGACGGAGGGAGGGGCGACTGACGACACAGCTTACAGGGTTGGCTTCAGGGAGCTAAAATCAACAAAGGGGGTGCCTGTACATCAAGGAGTATTTCAGGCAGGACTGCACGGAGGGTTCCAATAAGAAATGGTGCACCTAAGTTATCGTTGTTATTGGAACAAGGAGGTTAGCCTGGCCTCTGATTGATACATGGCTAGATTTACCTCGCTGCACCTTCTCTGTAAGTGACTGCAGTGTGACCTAGAGGAATGAGTCCCCTAGACAGGGGAGGAGGCAAATGAGTACAAAACAAATCTGGTCTATTTCTTGTTTTGACCCACTCCATCTATCTTTTACATCTTTGGCTGGCAGCAGACGGTGCAGAAGGACTGCATGCCATCCACATCTCATGGCTGCTCGGCAGAAGATGGTACACTACGACTGCTAGCCATCCCCATCTCTTGCCTGCCTGGCAGAAGATGGTGCAATACGACTGCTAGCAATCCTCATCTCTTGCCTGCCTGGCAGAAGATGGTACAGTACGACTGCTAGCAGTCCGTATCGCCTGCCCGCTCACCATAAGACGGTTCAATAGGACTGACTGCAGGACTAAAGAGAATGACCTGGTCAAGTCACTCCAAATTTAGTCCCTGCGCCCATGTCTGCCCAGGCGCTCCCAGCCGACGCGGCCAGGAGCACCTCGGACACGATGAGGACGACTACCAGTCGTATTGCACCGTCTGCTGCCAGAAGGCAAGGGGTTGCTGCTACTGTGCAGCAAAGCCGTACCGCGTCTGCCAGCACCCAGGAGACATAGGGTGACGGTTACCTGAGCGGGCTCCATGCTTGCTGTGGTATGGCGTCTGCACAGGTAACTCAGGAAAAAAGGCGCGAAATGATTGTCTGCCCTTGCTTTCACGGAGGGAGGGAGGGAACGGGGGCCTGACAACACGTACCCAGAACCACCCGCGACAATGTTTTAGCCCCATCAGAGTGCTCCATTGTGCCTGCTCTGGACAGCACTCTCAGATGCCCGATTGTTTGCCATTGCTCTGACGCTGGGAGGGGCGCTTACAGGGTTGGCTTCAGGGAGCTAAAATCAACAAAGGGGGTGGCTTTACATCAAGGAGTATTTCAGGCAGGACTTCACGGAGGGTTCCAATAAGAAATGGCGCACCTAAGTTATTGTCCTTATTGGAGCAAGAAGGTTAGCCTGGCCTCTGATTGATACATGGCTAGATTTACCTCGCTGCACCTTCTCTGTAAGTGACTGCAGTGTGATCTAGAAGAATGAGTCCCCTAGACAGGGGAGGGGGGAAGCAAATGAGTACAAAACAAATCTGGTCTATTTCTTGTTTTGACCCACTCCATCTATCTTTTACATCTTTGGCTGGCAGCAGACGGTGCAGAAGGACTGCATGCCATCCACATCTCATGGCTGCTCGGCAGAAGATGGTACAGTACGACTGCTAGCAGTCCGTATCGCCTGCCCGCTCACCATAAGACGGTTCAATAGGACTGACTGCAGGACTAAAGAGAATGACCTGGTCAAGTCACTCCAAATTTAGTCCCTGTGCCCATGTCTGCCCAGGCGCTCCTGATCGACCTCACAGAGGCGACCAGGAGCACCTCAGACATGACGATGACGGCTACCAGTCGTACTGTACCGTCTGCTGCCACAAGGCAAGGGGTTGCTGCTACTGTGTAGCAATGCCGTACCGCGTCTGCCAGCACCCAGGAGACATAGGGTGACGGTTACCTGAGCGGGCTCCATGCTTGCCATGGTATGGCGTCTGCACAGGTAACTCAGGAAAAAAGGCGCGAAATGATTGTCTGCCCTTGCTTTCACGGGGGGAGGGAGGGAACGGGGGGCTGACGATATGTACCCAGAACCACCCGCGACAATGTTTTAGCCCCATCAGGCATTGGGATCTCAACCCAGAATTCCAATGGGCAGCGGAGACTGCGGGAACTGTGGGATAGCTACCCACAGTGCAACGCTCCGGAAGTCGACGCTTGCCTCGGTACTGTGGAAGCGCTCCGCCGAGTTAATGCACTTAATGCACTTAGAGCATTTTCTGTGGGGGGACACACACTCGAATTTATAAAACCGATTTCTAAAAAACCGACTTCTATAAATTCGACCTTATTCCGTAGTGTAGACATACCCTGAGAATCTACCTTCCTTCTGTGCAGTAGCTCTGCAATAGGTAGAAACCCTAAGGCTTCACCCATACAATACCCTTAATGACTCTCTGGGTGTGGTTACTGCTTGACATCTTTAGCTCTTTCCAGAGGGAGTTTATCAATATGCTTCAATAATCCCCAATGTGCAAGGCAGCACTGTTTGTCATATGATCTTTCAATTTAAAATCTTTTTTTCCCCAAGTTCTTCAGTTTAGCAGTTGAGTGGTATAGGTATTCAGTCACTGAATACAATCATGGTCATTAGCAGTTACATGTCTACTTTGCACACTATAAAAATTTATCTCAATTTTAGTTTTTAAATGCACAAGCATTTTGTATTTACTTGCAGCTTTATTTATTAGTTAGTTAAAAATTGTTTCAGGTGGGAAATGACCAAAATGTCCCCTTAAACTCAAATGAGGCATGCAACTACCTTATCGCGAATGCAGAAGTGCAGCATAGAGAAACTACAAGTATCACAGCAACCTCCACTTGGATTTAGATTAAATGTATGTGAGGACCTATGTTTTCTAAGGGCGGCATGTGTGTGCTCAAGATCAGGGTGACTACCATCTGCTTCATTCTATCCAAATTTGATGTAGTCCTCGAGCTCCTGGCCAACTGCCAAAGTTACCCCCAGCTGAGAAAAGTTTCTATGCCTCTGGTTTAAGCAAACACATCATTATTAATTATTGTACAAGATTCTGTGATGTCTTATGATAAGCTAATCACTGTATTAAATAGCTATTATTATGAATAACTTCTGAAAATGTAAAATAACCCAAGTTTAATTCAAAAAAGAAATATATAAAACACTCCTTATACCCTATTTGACCCAGACATGAAGGATAATACAAGTATTATCCTTTGCAGTCTCACCCAATTTAAAAAAAAACAAAAACCCTACAATCACTCTTTGCACCCTTCTCCTCCCTTTTAAACTCTGGTCTCATTTTGTTGACCATAATCATAACAACTTCTCACTAACTGAAAAGGAAGGCTCTGAAACCGATGCAAAAGTTTATCTGCAAATTGCTCAGTAGTGGATGCTCAGAGTGCATGGCTGTTATTTTTAGATCCAACTATGACTGTTCTGCAATGCATTTTATATAAATTTCATACCTATTGGGCTCCATGGAGAAGTGACTGTATTATGTTTGTACCTTAAAACATCAACAGAGCAAATTATTTCTTACAATCATTTAAACAGTAAATACTGTTCAATATTTGCTTCTTTTGTGTTCCACTTACCCACAATAGAAGAGCACAACACAGGCATAAGCCAAGACTCCTTGTACTTTTATTGAGCTTGTTACGACTCTGATGAGCTGTTTTAAAAATAAAAGTTAAACAGTTCAGGCACATAGATTAATAATTAATACAATATTTAAAGAGGGCATTTACATCGAGTCAAGTTTGTGACAAAAATGAGAACATTTATACTAAGAAGAATTAACTTTGTAATGGTCTGTATTCCTCTTGATATTGTTAATTATTCAAGAATTGTCTGAATAAATATTACATGAGTATCTGCTATTACTTGACTATGCAATAGAGTTGTAATTCTAGTACGGCTGTCGATTAATCATAGATAAGTTATGCAATTAACTAAAAAAAATTAATCGTGATTAATCGCAGTTTTAATAGCACTGAAACAAGAGAATACCAATTAAATATTGCTGGATGTCTTTCTACATTTTCATATATATTGTATTCTATGTTGTAATTGAAATCAAAGTGTATATTATTTTTGATTACAAATATTTGCAATGTAAAAATGAAACAAAAGAAATAGTATTTTTCAATTCACCTCGTACAAGTACTTTAGTGCAATCTTTGTCGCGAAAGCGCAACTTAGAAATGTAGATTTTTTGTTATATAACTGCACTCAAAAACAAAACTGTGCGATTAATCATGTAATTAATCGCCTGACAGCCCAAAATTCTAGTAATAACTCTACAGTCTGTTGCTATATAAATGATTTATATCAAGTTCAGCATTATGACTTCATTGCAGAATCAAGAAAGAAATGATGGGCTGGAAGAGGATACTAGTTATTAATACAAACATCTGAAGAAACTACCCAATATGTATGTGTGGAAATCACATTAAAGATATTGATGTAGTGAACCAGAATTGTAATGCATCACTCTGCACTAAAGAAAACTTGAGACTGAGCTGTTTTGTGGACTCAGCATGTTATGGAATCTGTCTGCTTGCAAAGTTTGAACATTAAGAAATCACAAGTTTGTTTTCAGTGTAGCACTTAAGGCCCCAATTCAGGAAAACACTTAAGTCTGTGCTTAATACCATCCTTGTTAAGGATAGCATTTCAGCACATGCTGAACTTTAGACATGTACTTAAGTCCCAGCTTGAATAGGGATGCAATCCATAATGGAAGTCTAAGTAGATAACTGTAGCTATGACCATCGTAAATGTTGGTCCCTGCTGAACTTAGCTAGACAAAGTTATCAATAACATTTTTGCTTGATCCCTGCAGGACAGTATTGCAACAAAATGTATTGCAACAATTTTACATCACTAATCACTCTACCAGTAACATTATGGGACTTTGCTGGTAGAGTTGGTGCTTCTGTCCAATGCCATTATGACTAAGGGCTCATCTACACAGAGAAATTGACCATAACAATGATTGCAGAATATAGTATTCCAGAATAGCTCCCTTTGTAGACACTAGTTCAGAATAAAAGTCACTTTATTTCAGAAGAATTTATGTGCTCAGAAACAACAAAATGCACTAATTATTCCAAAATAAAGTGACTAACTCTGGAATAGCATGCCGACATGGGGGGGGGACACAGGGAGCTAATCCAGAACAGTTTATACCACAATAGTCACCTCCCCTGTGCAGACAAGCCCTAAGCCACTGAACATACCAGTGCAGGGAAGGGCATGATAAGAAAACACTGAAGGTGTTTTATAAAAATTTTCCTACCAAGAGCCTTAAAAACCTGCACTACTGTCAGCTTCCTGGCAGCCAGCTGCTTTTGCTATTCTGACTGAACAATCAGGATACTTGCCAAAAGGAATAAATGTTCAATCACTATGGCGGTAGCCTGTTCCACTATAGCAGCCCAAGTCATTATAAATTCCATAGTAGTAATCTGCATTTAACCCTCTATGCTGGGAGGATAAACACTAACACATATATCAAGTGGTATAGATTTCCTTATGTTGAGTGTTAAGTCAGACGTGTAGCGTCATTTAGATGTGTTAAAATATAAAGAAGTGCTCATTTCACATTCACATAATTTTTACAACAGAATGAGCTGTGCAGCCTAACAACTATACATACATTAGACCTCTCCACAGAAGTAACAATCAAGCCCTCTAACCCTTAGCTCACTTCCTTCCCACGTGACTGGGGGTGGGGTGGGGAGGAAGGGAGTTCCAGAATGTCCAAAAGATAAAGAAACTAAGCCCTTTTTGGACCAAGGAGGGGAATGAATTCTGAAGCTGAGGGACCCTCATGCAGAACAATCTTGTAGTTAAGGCACTGAACTTGAATTTAAGAGATGTAGGTTCAACTCCTGGCTCTGCCACAGACTTCCTATGTGACTTTAGGCAAGTCACTTAATCTCCATGCCTCATTCTCATATATAAAAAGAAGATTATGTTTCCCTACCTCACATACGGTTGTGAGGATCAATTAATTGTTTGTGACCCACTCAGATATTAGGGTGATTGTGGCCATATAACCAAAATAGACAGCTCCCTCTCAGTTATATGAAGAAAACTCCATCAAAAATGTGTAAGTTGATCTCAACTGTGGCAGCAATGGAGAGAGAAAGAGAGCATTTCTCAGGTAATCAGGTTCCTAACCCATTTACAGGTTAAAACCCAACACCATGAACGCTACCAGGAAACTTAGCAGCAGCCTGTATAAATCCTGGGGCATTTATGCTCCTGGCATGAAGTTACATCTAATAATTATTCACTTTATTCTACTCCAGCATCAGATTCTATGTGGCCTTAAAATAGAGCACCAAAAATAATACAGTCTCCTGGTGGCAAAGACATGGGTCCTCATCTATTTCACACTGAATTTCTTCAGAGAAAAAGCATTTTTCTATGACCTTGAATTAAGCTTTTATCCCTAAGCAGAATTCTTACTAACCACTGAGAGATTTTTGGTCTGAAAAATGAAAATACATGACTTACTAAAACAGCCAATGGGAGAGGAATAAAACCCATTCTCCTGGAAACAGAATCGCTGTAATCTGTGTATGCCTGAAATAAATAAATAAATAAATTGGAATTTGTGGCATCTCTCCCCTATTTTACTTGGTGCACATTCTAGGAAGGTAGCAATCACTACTAGCATATATATTACATTGATACAGAAGCAACTATTTAAATCTGGTAAACGACTGCTTTCACAGAGATCTACATAGATATGCAAATGTAGTTATCTGTTTATGTGTGAATACAATTAACACTAACATGACTGTTAAAATTAGCCACAGAGCTCTAAATCAAGAGCATTTAGGAAATTATACCTCAAATCATGCCAAAGAATTTCAAAAGTGCACTACTGCCACTTCACTTAGAGATATTTTTGTTATCAGTTCAGTTTTGATCCCTAAATATAATATGCAAAAATCCACACTGCAAAAAAAGAAGTGATTATCCAAAGCACCATAGTAGCAATTTAAATGGTCATTCCAACTTCCTCTGTAATTAGGCTCAAGATAACACCTCCCCTTACCCCTTTTTAAAAAAACAATTAAAGGCTTTGTTCTCATTGGTACTATAAAAGTGGTCTACTTTGCCTGAGAATTCTCATGTGGTACTGAAAATTCTTTGATGCTGAAGAACAGTTATATCATATAAGCACTCATATTCCTCAAGCCATCATCACAAAAAGAAATATAAAATATATGACTTTTCAGAATCATCTGGTTTATTCCTAAAATTAGTAATATGAAGATTCCATTAGTATTCCAGGTAATTTAGCCCCTCTTGTCCATGGCTAGGTACAAAAGATTTTAGCTTATGTTTCTTCATTCATAAGCTTGATAAAGGAAGATTGCTTACCAGTAATCTCAGTTCTCCGAATGTACTGCCTCTGCAGATCCATGATGTAGGAGTAACAAGCATGGCATGAGGGATTTGCATAGACAATTCATATGGTAGTAGGAAAATTACCAATGAATGTTGTACAGAACTATAGTAGATCACCAAACTATGCTAAGATTAAATGGGAAGGAAGAGTAGATCTATTTTATGAAAGGCTGCAGATAGTTCAAAATTACTTCAGGAAAACCCTGTTAAGCTTGTTTAGCCAGTTTACTTCAAAACATATCACACACCGTATATACTCATTCATAAGCGAAATTTTTTTAGTAAAAACGGGAAGCATCAGAGAAGGGGGTCGGCTTATGAACGGGTATAGAGAAGGAGAGGTGTGACACAGCCCCTCCCCCCAAAAGAGGGGGCGAGGAGAGGCAGCACAGTCAGCAGAGCCAGAAGGGAAGAGGCAGGGCCAGAGTCACTCCGCTTCTGGCCACGCCTCCAAAGCAGCTGCAGCTCCAGAGCTGGCAGGCTGCGGCCACGTCTCCTGGCCCTGCCTGCCAGATCACGCTGCGGCTGTGCCGTCGGAGCAGGCTGCGGCCATGGCAAGACATCTTCCCTTGGCCCACACCAGCTAAGGTGGAAAGGGATGGGATGGGATGGGATGGGGAGATTGGGGGGCTCCCAGGCTAGGGGTGGGGTCATGTCGGGGGTGGTCACAGGGGTTACTCCCCTGACCCCCAGCTTCTCCCCTCCCCAAAATTTCCCCAACAGTTGCTGTCCCGGTCTGTCAGGGTAAGCAGCTGGCGGGCAGGGACACTTAGTTTACTTAGATTTACCTCGGACGCTCGAGGTAAACAAACTGTCTCGGCCTGCCAGCAGCTTATCCTGACGGCCTGGGAGCCAAAGTTTGCTGACCCCTGAATTGTAGCATCGGCTTATGAATGGGTCATACAAATTTTCCATTTTTACTTATCCATCTTGGGGGGTTCGGCTTATAAACGAACCGGCTTATGATCGAGTATATATAGTCATTAAAATTGCAATTAGGGTAACTATAATAAGGCTTTTGTTGTGACTTTATCAATGAACCTGTGCTAGCATAGTTTGCTCTTAAAAATCAAAGGCAATTTACTGCAAGAAACTTGAAGAACTGAACAGAAGTTGTGTGACTAGATCATGGTGCAATATTAATTTCATTTTGTACATGCACAATAGCAGGATATAATTTCAGTATTATAGAAGAGAACATTTTCTGAATATCTGTTGGCACTGACATTTGCTGTACTGAAAACAATGACATCAGTTAATAAAAACATGCCCTTTTTATTTTCACACTTACATTTTTCTGTCGACTGCTAACAAGGTCAAATGCCAGGCTGGCTCTGTACTCACTGTAGACCTGGAAAAAAAAATCCAGCACATTGGATGTGTGATTAATTTACATGAGATCACAATTTACAGCAGCAACAGAATTTCATTGATAAAATATTTATCAGAAAAAAAAAAGAGTTTTATAAGGCTTGTGCAGGAACTGAAGCACTCAATCTTGCTCTTTCATGGAGGTACATACTGCTGTATAATTAAGGACAACTATCGTATATACATGAGCAAACAGAAGCCAATTTTCTAAAATATACAACTTTTCATGATACAATCAGATTACAGAATTAAAATGCACACTTACAGTATATACATTTACTTTTGGATTTTAGATTCACCAGTACAGTATTAACTGTGTTAAGCCAACTGGCCACATATATTTTGTGAGGATGATTAATGTGGCTACTAAAACCTAAGTGGGATATCTGGAAGAGGATTTAGGAATGAGGAACTGCATGTTCTCGCCAAATTCCAAATAGGAAGTTATATTGGCTTGGATGCAAAAAGGGAGCTAAGTTCAGCAGGACAGAGATCTGTTGCGTTCTGGATAAATAATTAGTGTCTCTTTTGGGCCACAGAGAAACAGACAGGGAAAACAAGCATGAAAAGGACTCTATAGGTTGGGGCTTAGAGCACTCACTCAGGATGTGGAAGATCTGGAATCTAGCCCCCTGAACTGATGCATTTTTAAAATATATATATATATTCATAGTGGAACAGCTTCAACAAGAGAGACTGAGGGAGCCCCCCCACATCAGAATATCCTATAATCCAATGGTAGAGTACTCCCCTGAGAGGTGGCAGATCTCTGTTTAAATCCCTTCCCTCCCCAGGTGGAGGGGGGGTACTTACACCAGGGATCCCCCACATGCCAGGTGACTACCCTAACCACTGGGTCAAAAGTTATGAGGGAGGTTTACCTCTTCTCCTATTCCCCATCCTGGTCTATTTTGTGTTAACTCACCTCAGAGGCTAGTCCAGCAGGCGAGCTAAGAAGGCACCCACTAGATTGGGCCCCAAATGCCTATCTTCTCCTGGCTTGTGAATCACTCTGGGGCTTAGGTGAGAGAAAAATGTCCAGACACCCAGACTGGGGCTGCAGTGTCCAAGTTCAGAGGCAGAAACATAGATATATAATGAACTTTTACAGCAAAAATGTAGGCGCCAGTTAACTTAAGGCACCTACAGGGTTCAGTGGGAGTTTTGTACATTGCAGAGGTCCTGAAACTGGGACTTATGCATCTAACTCCTTTTGTGCATCCAGCCATTCTGCCTATCCAAACGTCCTCAACAATGTAAATTAGATATACTTCATTTTCTTGCGTTAGGTGTTGTGATGCATTGCTGCATCCTGCTTAACGATCGTGCCTTGCACCTTGTGGTGACTGCATTTCAGTGATGGAATTATTTTTGTGCATATATATTGTGACAAAGTTCCTGCTCTACCTTGGTGGGTCTTGCACTTATTGGCGGATTTGCTCACCTTGGAGCTTCACGGCAGCCCTCAGCTTGGCCATTTTTCTGAATTCACAGTCCAGGTCGATGACTCCTGTGTCTGACCAGGAGCTGGGAGGATTTGGGGGGAACCCGGGCCTGCCCTCTACTCCGGGTTCCAGCCCAGGGTCCTGTGGAATGCAGCTGTCTAGAGTGCCTCCTGGAACAGCTGTGCGACAGCTACAACTCCCTGGGCTACTTCCCCATGGCCTCCTCCCAACACCTTCTTTATCCTCATCATAGGACCTTCCTTCTGGTGTCTGATAATGCTTGTACTCCTCAGTCCTCCAACAGTCCGTGTTCTCGCTCTCAGCTCCTAGTGCCTCTTGCTCACAGCTCCTCACATGCACACCACAAACTGAAGTGAGCTCCTTTTTTAAAACCCAGGTGCCCTGATTAGCCTGCCTTAATTGATTCTAGCAGCTTAATGGTCTTAATGGTCTCCAGAAGGTTCCTGATTGTTCTGGAACCTTCCCTGTTACCTTACCCAGGGAAAAGAGATCTACTTAGCCTGGGGCTAATATATCTGCCTTCTATTACTCTCTTATATCCATCTGGCCCGATCCTGTCACAATATGCACACAGTTTTGGGGGTCTCTTTATGAAAGACACTATGTAAAATGTCAGGTATTGGTTACCTAATAAATTCTTGTAAATGATTAGCAGCATCACAAAGTAATATAAGACAATCTCTATGGTCTTAATATTGTTCATTTAAATTGCAGATCTTTTTGATTTAAGACCAATAGCACAAAGTAAAAAGGATGTACTGTAGTTTGAAGGTACTATGATTTTTACATTTAGTTAATAGTTTAAATTAGAAGCTGCATGAAAGCATTAGACTCAAGTGAAACAAATAACTGACTTGTAATCATATGCTGACTTAGTGATCCCATAAAATGTTATATTAGGCAGCTGGGAAGGAAAACAGAAAAGCTACTTAGACAATATTTTCAGATACTAAGGAAAATGTAGCTATTTTAAGGATAAAGGGGCTGACCGCCTGCTTCTCCAGTAAACTTCAATTAGCACTGCATGTGCTCAGCACTTCTGAAAATTAGGCGCAATGGCTATAAATCTTTAGAATCTACATGTAATACGGTAAAGGAGTGTATTAAATAATAAACCTTGCAGGACAGTCTATAACTGATTCAGCATACTGAAACATGTATTTCTGGCTAGCATTTCATTATTCCTGTTTTCTGTACTCTTTATGTGAAAGTAGGGCATGCATAAATGCCTCTGGCATAAGGGAGCTTATTAAGTGCATCTATTAAACTTGTTTCTACACTACTACTGTAGTTACTTTAGGAAGATGCTGAAAGTAATAGCACTTCCAAGTTTTGACCTCGTTTCCTGAAAAGGGGATTTAGACAGTGAGAAGAAAATGCTAATACATCTTCTCTCAAATTTACAAAGAGCATTTGAGTCCACATGTCAGTTTTTAAGTGCTTGTCTACACTTTAAATGATACAGCAACCAACTGCACTGCTGCAGAGGTGCTGCTGTAGTGCTTCAGTGTAGACACTACCTACACTGACGGGAAGGGTTCTCTCGGGAGAATAGGGAATCCACCTCCCCAAGAGGCAGTAGGCTAGGTGGACAGAAGAGAAGGTTACTCACCTTGTGCAGTAACAGAGGTACTTCAAGATGGTTGTCCCTGTGGGTGCTCCACTTTAGGTGTCTTAACACCTTGCACTTGTAATCAGAGATTTGAGGTAACAGTGCCTGGTTGAGCCGCACACTTGCCGTAGCTGACTCACGCTGGTCTGAGCGGTTACACAGTGGTGTGCAGCAAACCATCCCCCTGTTCCTTCTCTACCTCAGAGAATCAGCCTAAAACGCCGAAGTAGAGGGGAGGAGAAAGGGTAGCGGAGCACCCACAGGAACAACCATCTCGAAGAACATCAGTTATTGCACAAGGTGAGTAACCTCCTCCACTTCGAGGAGTGTTCCTGTGGGTGCTCCACTTTAGTGGTCCTAGGATTACTTTATATTAAAAGAATGTTGTATAAGGTGGGTGTACCATTAAGGCACCTAATTCTCCTTCCCGTCTTGTGTATGTGATGGCAATGAGGAAAGCCACCTTCATGGATAAGTGCAATAAAGAGCAAGTTGGAAGGGGTTCAAACGGTTTTCCCATGAGTCCACGTAGAACAAGGTTGAGGTCCCACATGGGTTTGGGTTTCTTAGTGAGCGGTAAGTGTTTTCAATGCCTTTAAGGAAGTATTTAATCATCAGGTGAGCAAATATAGTGACCGCATCCATCTTATTATGGAAGGAGGTAATAACAGCTAAGTGTACTCTGATAGAGCTTATGAATAGCCCTGACTTTTTAAGTCCTAGTATATAGTTGAGAATCCTCGGTAGGGGGGACAACTGTGGTAAGAGCTGTTTGTCTTGGCACCATGTGCAGAATCGTTTCCACTTATGGATATATGTTTTTCTTGTATTGAAGCCTCCGACTGTTCAGTAATATATGTTTTACTTCCTCAGAACAGGCTTTCTCTGAACAGTCAGCCATGGAGTAACCAGCACTTGGGGTGGAGTACTGCGAGGTTGGGGTGACAGATGTGTCCCGCATCTTGTGATTGGTGGTGAGGTACTAAGGGAAAGGTTTGAGGTGGTTTCACTGTCATCTGATGCAGCTATGGCAACCATGTTTGTCTGGGCCATGTGGGTGCAATGAGAATGACCCTGGACTCGCCCTGCCTGATCGTGTGAATGACTCGGCTTAGAAGTACAGTTGGAGGAAATGCATATATCCGTGGCACCTCCCATTTTATGAGGAGAGCGTTGTCTAGGCAGTAGAGTCCCAATCCTGCTCTGGAACAATATTTTGGGAATTTGGCATTCTAAGCTGCTGCAAATCGAGGTATGGTGGGGAACACCCATAGTTTGAATATGGATTTGAGAATTCGGGGATCCATCTCCCACTCGTGGGTTTGTGAAAAATCCCTGCTTACTAGATCCACTGTTGTATTCTGACATCCTGGCAGATAGGATGCCAATATCTCTATGTTGTTGGTGATGCACCAGTTCCAAAGGTGTATTGCTTCTGTACACGGAGTATGACTGTGCTCCCCCTTGGCGGTTTACATCAAACATGCATGCTATATTGTCCATGAGGATCTTGATGGCATTGTTCTTGATTAGAGGGAGAAAGAAAGCATGCATTTCAGACTGCCCTTAGCTCCAGTAAGTTTATGTGCAGGTTGGACGCCGCTGGAGACCAGCTGCCTTGGATTGTATTGTTGAGCAGATGTGCCCGCAACCTATTAGGAAAGCATCTGTCATGACTGAAATGGTTGGAGTTCTTTGTTGGAAAGGGACTCCCTGAGCAGACGTTCTTTGGTTATATCCGCCATGTTAATGAGTCTTTTACTCTGCATGGCATTGTGAGGCATCTATTGAGAGCGTATCTGTATGGTATATATACTGTTCGAAGCCAGGCCTGGAAACATCTCATGTGGAGTCTGGCATGTTTTACAACAACACTGTTGCTGACATATGCCCCAAATTATAAGCATGTTCTGGCAGATGTTTGTGGGCTGTCCATCATCATTGAAATTAGGTTGACTAGAGTGAGGAAGCGTTGTTGGGGTAACATTGCTGTTGCTGTGAGACAATCAAGGTAGGCTCCTATGAATTCTTACTTTTGGACAGGAACCAGCGTGGACTTTTGTACATTTATTTGCAACCCTAGGTCTATGAACAGGGTTATCATGCTCTGTGTGGCGTTCATTGCTTCTTGCTGCTTTGGTGCCCTTATAAGGCAATCGTCTAAGTATGGAAATATCATCACTCCTTGTCTGCGGAGGTGAACTGCAATGACAGCAAGAATATTGGGAAAAAACCCTTGGGGCAGTGGAAAGGCCGAAGGGTAGTACTCTGTATTGGAAATGCTGTTTCCCTTGGGTGAATCTCAGGAATCTTCTGTGTGACGGGCGGATTGAAATATGAAAATAAGTGTTGTGAAGGTTAAGGGCCAAGAGCCAATCTCCCTTTTCTAATGCCGGAATTATTGTGGTTAGAGCCAACATTTTGAAACGTCTGTTCTCACAAATTTGTTGAGTTTTCGTAAATCCAGGATGGGTCTCCACCCACCAGTCTTTTTCCGAGTTTGAAAATAATGTGTATAAAAACCTCTCCCTTTGTGTTGCACTGGTATGGGTTCCATGGCACCTAATTGTATGAGGTGGTTTATTTCCTGTTGTAACAGGTGCTCGTAAGAGGGGTCCCTGAAGAGGGACAGGGAAGGGGGGTGGGTAGGTGGGATAGAAGTAAAGGGGATGGAGTAGCCCTTCTGGATAATCTCTAAAACCCGTTTGTTTGTTGTGATGGTGTTCCAGACTGGGTAGTATGGTGACAGGAGGTCTCTGAATGGATGGGGGACTGTTTCTGATTCCGGAGTCCCAAGATCTCAAGCCCTCAACCACACCTTCAAAATGATTGTCTAGAGGTGGATGGTTGAGACGCCGAAGGCTGATCTTGGTTCTGCCAACGTCTATGCTGTCTTTGTGGCTGAGTGTATGGGGTAGCCCGGAATCTCTGGTTGTAAAACCTGCCTTATTTTTGTTCGCAGGTACGTAGGTGCCCAGGGTTTTTAAGGTTGCCCTGGAGTCCTTTAAGGTCTGTAAGGACACATCAGTTTTGTCAGCTAATAGTTTTTGACCCTCGAAGGGTAAGTCTTCAACTTAAGGTGCCTGGACCTTCCTTGGGAATCCAGAAAGATGGAGCCAGGATGCACGGCACATGATCACGGATGTGGCGATGGATCATGCTGCCGTGTCTGCAGGGTTAAGGGAGTCCTGTAGGGCTATCCTGGTGATGAGACACCCCTTGGAAATGTTTACCTTATATTTTTCTTTTTTTGTCATCTGGCAAATTTTCAATTGAATTCTGACATTTTGGAGAACAGATTGTGTGTATATTTAGCCAGCAGGGCCACATAGTTAGCTATGCAGAACCGAAGTGTAGCTGATGAATAGGCTTTCCACCCAAAAAGGTCTAGTCTTTTCCATTCCTGATTGTATTGGGTCGTTCGGGACTGGTGTTGTTTCCCCTTTTGATTGACCGCCTTCACTACTAAGGAGTTTGGAGTGGGGTGTGTAAATAAAAATTCAGCTCCTTTTGTTGGCACATATTTTTTGTCAGATCTCTTACATGAGGTGGTGCAGGAGCGGGAGTCTGCCAGATGATTTTCACAGGCTCCATAATAGCATCATTTATCGGCAAGGCTCTCTTTGCCAATGGGGATGCCTGGAGTATGTCCATGAGCTTATGTTGGGCTTCTGGTAGCTGTGCCAACAGAATGTGTAGGGATTAAGCAACCCTTTTGAAGAGGTCCTGAAAAGATTTGAAATCATCCCCCATAGTAGGGGGTGGTGGCATTTGGTTTCATCTGGTGACTATGATGAGAGGTAAGCAGGCGGTGAAGTGTCATGTGAGGCTATGTCCTCAGGTTCCTCGGGTCTTCCTCCTGTGTTTCTGAGGGTGCCGGGACAGCTGGTGAAGGGGACCGGGCTATTCTGGACCTAGGCGGGCTAGGGGGCCTACAGTTTTGGTTGCCCATGGATTCCAGTATGACCAGTTAGGTGGGAATGGTATGGGGGGCAGTGCCCATGGGTGACTATATCATCCTCATATATCCACAGGTAGTGGGGGATGAGATGGTCCTGGCTTGGGTGAGGAGCGGCGAGGAGTGTATAATACTGCATCATCCTCTTCTTCCTCATCAGTGGAGATAGGAAGGCCTGATCTGCAGGGAGTAGTCAGCTGGATTGGTACTGATCTGGATGGTATAAGATATTCAGGCATTGAGGCCACTATCAGGTCCGCATGCCTCAGGAATTGCTGTGGTACCGTGAGGTTCGGTGCCGTAGATGGCATGGTGAACGGCCCAAGAGCATGATTTGAAACTGCCAGTGCCGAGGATTTATAGCTGTGCAGCACAGGTACAGCAGGTGGCGCCACTGTACCGCTTGGGCAGAGATCTCTGTGGATGCAGAGTTGGAAGGTTTCACTTTAGCGTGTGAACCTCCATTAGAGCTTGCCCACGTAGTGTCTTTAGCTTGTGGGGAACTCTCGATGCCAGATATTCCCAGTGCTGCGTGGTCCGGCGCTCTCAGTGCTGTCGGTACTGGGGCAGATTTTTCAGTTGGAGATCGTTTTCTTTTGGGCAACTCTTGGTCTGCGACCACTTTTTTGTAGCCTTTCTAGGAGCAGGCTCCTTGGCAGCTGCTGTTGGAGCAGAGCTCCTGTCAGAGGCTGCCGCTGGCGACTGTTGGCCAGGGGGTGACCTGGATTCAGGGTTGGAGGCTGGCCTGAGGAATTTCTCCATCATGAGGAGCTTCAGCTGGAGATCTCTGGCTTTTCTTGTCTTGGCTACCAGCTTTCTGCAGTGTGGGCACTTTTGAGCAATGTGTGTCTTGCCGAGGCAGCGGACACACTGAGCATGGCCGTCAGAGACCAGTATGGAGAGTCTGCAAGTCAAGCAGCGTTTCAAACCAGCTGAGCCTGGCATGCCTGAGAGAATCGGTCTCAGAGAAAAACAGGGGTAAACTCTGTTTGAGGCTAAGGCTGTAGAGGCCTGCTGGAGAGATAGGCGGATAGGGAGGGTAGAGGGGAAAAAAAAATTTGTTGATAAAATTAAAGAAATCAGAGTAGGGCAAGGGGATAGGGAAGCTAACTACAACTAAGCTAACACTGCCACAATGAATTATCTACCGTAAATTTTTTCTGAAGTAAGAGATGGTGCTGCTGATCACTCTGACGCAAGCCAAAGGCAGTAGGGAAGAAACTGGGGCACGGTTGCCTGCGCACTGCTACGTAACTTCTGGGAGCAGCGTGAGACGGCTACGGCGCATGTCTGGCCCAACTGGGTACTGCTACCACAGATCTCCGATTAAAAGAGCAGGGCGTCAAGACACCTAAAGTGGAGCACCCACAGGGTCACTCCTCGAAAAAGAATAATTCTTTTGTCGACCAAGCACTGTCTACACTACAGGTTAGATTGGCTTAAATACACCACGCAAAGGTGTGGATTTTTCACAAAGCTGAGCAACGTATTTAAGCAGACAATTTTCTAGTGCAGACCAGGCCGAAGACAAATATAGCATGTGTAGTGTCTATATGTCATGTTAGCATACAACATAAAACAATTTAATCTAGTACATTAAAGAAGGCCTACATACTATATATGCCCCAAGAAATTACAGGAATGGGAAACCAACACTAACCTACTTTATATTCAGTGCTGCAGGGACAGAAGAGAAAACAAAAATATTTTTGATCTCAGTTTCCATCTTTAAAAATACACTGAAACAGAATAATTCAATCGTCTCACAGAGAAACGGATTTTTCTAAAACATGAATTGTATTTCACAATCCATTTTGTTTAGAAAAACGTACACGTTCTGGGTGACTAAAGTAAAATATAAACATTACCTTTATGTTTTCTTGACCTAGCAACTGCCTCAAAAATGATCTGCAAATTATGTGAATTGTGGCTGTTACACAATAGTCTCAAGTTTAATTTATGGATCTGAAACTATGAATTTAGAAGCAGAGGTGTTTCAGGCACATTAAATTCATCCTCAGAAGTGCACTGTTAATAAGAAAATAATTACTGGAGCTTTATGAAATGGCTTTTCTAACTCTTTAATAGAAAAGAAATCCACAACATTTTCTGCATTAGACTCAATCTTATTCTACATCTTATAGCTGTCTTAAAAAACACTGTAAATCACAACTAGAACATGCTTAGAAGTCCAATAGTATACCTACATCTGCTGTAATGTCATTGAATTTTGTTATAAATGCATGTTTCACAATATCCACTGCAATTTCTGATGCAATGACCATGCAAACATCTGGAAACAACACCCAAAGGTGATCTGAAGGTTAGGAAAAAATTAAAAATCAATTATACTGTACAAGTTGATCCCATAAGTAAAGAAAACTTGCAATTATTGCTTAACACAGCAGTCAAACTTTCAAAGGTACAAAGCATTATATCTATATCTATATTTATATCTCAGAAATGAATGGGTGCCTTGCAGAGATGAATTCCCACCACAGTATCTACTCTGGAGAATTGTTCGTATTAGCATAGCATCCAACGGCCCTAAGGAGGATCAGACTCTGTTGTGCTAGACCCTGCACTGTAAGGCCTTATCTTCACGAGGACAAAAGGTATGTTTTTTAACATGCGCTAGCTATCATGTGTTAAAACCTTAGTGTAGACAAAGCAGTCACAGTTTAACATGTTATCTGGTTAAGGTAAATCCATTGGCCAAAGTGTGTTAAAAAACACCTTTTGTCTTACAGAAAAAGGCACAGAATCAGGCCCTATAACACTAAATACATTTCCAACCTGCTACATTAGAACAAACACCAATGTTTATATGAATTAAGTGTTTAAAAAAATAACACAGTTTAACTAATATTAAAATCAAGATGGAAACTTGTTTTCAGACTTATACTCGGTTCCTTTCTTGCCAGCATAAGAAAATAACTACACTAAACAGGACTTCTTACTAGTAGATTCAAAAATATAAAAAATATAACTCAAAACTTAGCAAAACACATCAATGTTTATTTACAGTGCAAGGGAATATGCTTCCATTGAAATCAATGGAATCACAATCCACAGAAAACTAGAAATAGTTTACAGATTATTCAGGTCTTGTGATCTGAGGTCATAGGAGTCTTTGATTTTAAGAGTACTGCTTGCTTTTTAAAAAAAGAAAAGGAGTACTTGTGGCACCTTAGAGACTAACCAATTTATTTGAGCATGAGCTTTCGTGAGCTACAGCTCACTTCATCAGATGTATACCGTGGAAACTGCAGCAGACTTTATATACACACAGAGAATATGAAACAATACCTCCTCCCACCCCACTGTCCTGCTGGTAATAGCTTATCTAAAGTGATCAACAGGTGGGCCATTTCCAGCACAAATCCAGGTTTTCTCACCCTCCACCCCCCCCCACAAATTCACTCTCCTGCTGGTGCTAGCCCATCCAAAGTGACAACTCTTTACATAATCAAGTCGGGCTATTTCCTGCATAGATCCAGGTTTTCTCACATCCCCCCCACCCCCATACACACACACAAACTCACTCTCCTGCTGGTAATAGCTCATCTAAACTGACCACTCTCCAAGTTTAAATCCAAGTTAAACCAGAACATCGGGGGGAGTTGTAAGAAAGCTTGACAGAGATCTTGTAGGTGTTTGTCTCTGTCTGAGGGGTTGGAGCAAATGCGGTTGTATCGCAGAGCTTTGCTGTAGACGATGGATCGTGTGGTGTGGTCAGGGTGAAAGCTGGAGGCATGCAGGTAGGAATAGCGGTCAGTAGGTTTCCGGTATAGGGTGGTGTTTATGTGGCCATTGTTTATTAGCACTGTAGTGTCCAGGAAGTGGATCTCTTGTGTGGACTGGAGCAGGCTGAGGTTGGTGGTGGGATGGAAATTGTTGAAATCATGGTGGAATTCCTCAAGGGCTTCAGCCAAGCTCTGCGATACAACCGCATTTGCTCCAACCCCTCAGACAGAGACAAACACCTACAAGATCTCTGTCAAGCTTTCTTACAACTGCAATACCCACCTGCAGAAGTAAAGAAACAGATTGATCGAGCCAGAAGAGTTCCCAGAAGTTACCTACTACAGGACAGGCCTAACAAAGAAAATAACAGAACGCCACTAGCGGTCACCTTCAGCCCCCAACTAAAACCCCTCCAACGCATTATTAAGGATCTACAACCTATCCTAAAGGATGACCCAACACTCTCACAAGTCTTGGGAGACAGGCCAGTCCTTGCCTACAGACAGCCCCGCAACCTGAAGCAAACACTCACCAACAACCACATACCACACAACAGAACCACTAACCCAGGAACTTATCCTTGTAACAAAGCCCGTTGCCAATTGTGCCCACATATCTATTCAGGGGACACCATCACAGGGCCTAATAACATCAGCCACACTATCAGAGGCTCGTTCACCTGCACATCCACCAATGTGATATATGCCATCATGTGCCAGCAATGCCCCTCTGCCATGTACATTGGTCAAACGGGACAGTCTCTACGTAAAAGAATAAATGGACACAAATCAGATGTCAAGAATTATAACATTCATACACCAGTCGGAGAACACTTCAATCTCTCTGGTCACGCAATCACAGACATGAAGGTCGCTATCTTAAAACAAAAAAACTTCAAATCCAGACTCCAGCGAGAAACTGCTGAATTGGAATTCATTTGCAAATTGGATACTATTAATTTAGGCTTAAATAGAGACTGGGAGTGGCTAAGTCATTATGCAAGGTAGCCTGTTTCCTCTTGTTTTTTCCTACCCCCCCCATGTTCTGGTTTAACTTGGATTTAAACTTGGAGAGTGGTCAGTTTAGATGAGCTATTACCAGCAGGAGAGTGAGTTTGTGTGTGTATGGGGGTGGGGGGGATGTGAGAAAACCTGGATCTATGCAGGAAATAGCCCGACTTGATTATGTAAAGAGTTGTCACTTTGGATGGGCTAGCACCAGCAGGAGAGTGAATTTGTGTGGGGGGGTGGAGGGTGAGAAAACCTGGATTTGTGCTGGAAATGGCCCACCTGTTGATCACTTTAGATAAGCTATTACCAGCAGGACAGTGGGGTGGGAGGAGGTATTGTTTCATATTCTCTGTGTGTATATAAAGTCTGCTGCAGTTTCCACGGTATACATCTGATGAAGTGAGCTGTAGCTCACGAAAGCTCATGCTCAAATAAATTGGTTAGTCTCTAAGGTGCCACAAGTACTCCTTTTCTTTTTGCGAATACAGACTAACACGGCTGTTCCTCTGAAACCTGCTTGCTTTTTGACTTTCAGATTGCTGTGTTGAGCAAAGGGGTATGTATGATGGTCTTACATGTGTACCTGTAGTATTGTAATTACATACTAACAAGTGTATAATTTAAAAATTACATGTTTTGCAAAAGCGTAATTACCTGGATTCCATGAGAACTGTTCCATATTTCTTAGACATACTATCAACAACAGCACATAGTTGGTGAATCTCTCCTTTATATCTGGGGGAAAAAAAATCAATTGTCAACTCCAAATAAAATAGTTATTTATATGTATTATGGTAGTGCCATTGTACTAGGCATTGAACACACAGTAAGAGACAATATTTGCCCGAAATTGCTCAATCATATTCAGAAGGACAAAACACAGTTTGTCACTTCAAGTAATTTGCAACTCAAACTCCTGCTTCCTCTAGTAGGCGGAGATCAGACATATCAAAGGGGTGATATGGACTCGGTGCTCCAGTGCTACTGAATGGCCTTAAGTGAATTGATTGCACCATATTTAGAAGATCTCTAGAAGTCTATCCTGAAGCAGCATTAAAAGCAAGTTGGAGGAAGCTGTCAGTTCTGGTCTCATTAAGGTAAAAGATAGTGCCACAAAGGCAGTCAAAGCTTGATATAGAATCATTTGCCATGCCGGATCAGATCCTGTGTCCTTCACTTTGATAACCTGCCCATGGCAACAGCTAATAGTCAGTATATAGTCATTATATGCAGCATCTATAAACATAGTATGATAAGGCCAAGTTTATGAGGTTTTCTACTCAGCTTTGGATGTAACACAATAACTTTGGAACAATGCATCCAATCAATTCCAACACTTCAGTGAAATTTTCTAAGCATCAGTGGGTAGAACCCTACTGATTTTGGTGGGAAAAAAATTGGAAAAATAGAAGGGGGAAATGAATGACATGGAGACCCTGGCACATATCTGGTTAGCAGAGAGCAGCTTTAACTGCCTCTGACATGGTCCGCAGATCGAACACCTGGTTGATGGCAGCCATTATCACATTCCAGCTGAATACCCCTCATTTCAGCTCTCCCTATCCTGCCAATAACGTTTCAAAATACTCACGCCCTGAAGGAGAGAGAGAAATCAGGAAGGTGAGGTAGAAGGGGGGAAATGGAGAGGTGTGGTGGAAGGGAATGCACACAGAACTCCTGGCATGGGGGACATGGGGACACACACAGAGCCTCTGCTATGGGGGAAGAATTGGGGACAGAGGGAAGTGGAGCTACACAGAGCCCCTGGCATGGGGCTACTGGAGGACACAGATTCCCTTTCACAGGAGAGAGTTGGAAGGGGTTGTAGCGAGTCCCTGAAATAGAGAGGGAAGGGAGGGGGCTTGTGGGGAAATGGGAGGAATGCTGTTGGTGTGTACAATGAGCTTGACCCACAGAAGTAATGAAGGGTGCAAACGCCTAATTTCAAAATTGCTTGACTGAAGATACCATTCCAGGTAAGACCAGGTAAAAAGCATACTTTTTACATACAGTTCAATATACCAGGTATTATAGCAGGACCAGAATCTAAATGGTGTAAGTTTTTCCAAGGATAATTCTACAAGAAAGCTTAGGGATAACCAGGCACCACTAGATTTCATGTGCATTCTGATGTACTTTGGCTTACATTTGATATGACAATTATCAGCACTACAAAAATGATCATGCAGTTTTCAAGCGACCATTAAATAAATACTCTCTCTTCTACTGAACAAAAAAATTATGAAATCCTTCACTCTCTGTCTCGTATGTTGCGTAGGAACAATAGATCAATATGTAATGTTTCATAAAAATGCAACATTGCAAAAAACTGCACCCAAGACTCCACCATTGATATTACAAAAATATATGAAAACTGTGAAGGGAAAAATTCCAAAATTTGAGGAAGCATTCTAAAGTATGGATCCTCAATGAAACCTGAAGTGGCCATGCCCCCCCTGCCCCGTCCCAAACTCTGTTCAATATGTGATGGCTCCCCATACCCAGTATATGGGGACACAGGAGAAGAGGTAGGGGGTGATCCTATAGATCTGCTATTTTTGTTGTTCTTGCAGGTGGAAACTGTCCCACTTTCTCTCTCTCTGCCTGGGTTCTTCCTCTGTTCAAGGTGCCTTCTCTTATTATCTTTCCCTCTTAACTGCCACAACTGTTGAAAGGACAAGATGGGTAAGGTAATATCTTTTATTGGACCAGCTTCTGCTGGTGAGAGAGAAACAAGCATTCGAGCTTACACAGAGCTCTTCTTCAGGTCTGGGAAACGAAGGCCATGTCTACACTATAAAATTAAGCTGACTTATGTCGGCATACAGCCGCCACAGTAATCACATTGCTTGCGTGTGTCTACACTTGACTCCTTGTGTCTTCAGTGTGCATCCTCACCAGGAGTGCTTTTATTGATTGTACTGTTGGTGTGGGACATTGTGGGATGGCTCCTGAAGGCCAGAAACAAACATGAGCAATGAGGTATCTACACTGACACTGCACTGACCTTGACACTACGCTGCTCATGGAAGCAGAGTTATTAAATCGGGATAGTGGGGCAGTTATGTTAGTCAAGTGAAATTTTAACTGTAGATGCTTCCTTAGTTGGGTCAACGTAAGCTGCCTTGCATCAAGCTAACTCTGGAGTGCAGACCAGACCTCAATCAAATAGGTCTACTTCGGAAGTTCCCCAGAGCAGGAAGATGGACTTAGCAATATCTAGAAATGGAGACCACCCATGGTGATTGGAGAAGGTCCTGCTCTGTCAACCCACCAATGTGTTCTGCTTCCCTGGAAGGTAAGCAACTCTGAGATGATGAACTGAATTGGTTATGCAAAAGATCCTCCTGTCAGAGCTGTCTTGAGTGTGCCCCTCCCTGTGTGTTTACGTAAAACATGGCTGCAAAGTTGTCTGTTAGAATCAGCAAGCTCTTTCTTGCTTTATGTTGGAGGAAAGCTGAATAGATCTTCACACACAGATATTTCTGAGAGTCATTAGATCCTGAGGTGCCCAGAGACCTTGAGTCTGCATGGACCCTCCCAACCCAGGTCTGATGCATCTGTAACTAAAATGAAGGCTGGCAGGGAGGGGAGGGGTAAAGTTACCTGACACAAGACTTGAAGGGGTTAAGGTGGCTAGGTAGGCTAATTAAATGCCCAGGCTTCACCTGGAGGAGAAGCCGGGGGCAGCAATTAATCAGATGAGGCTCAGCTAGATGGGAACAGGAGAGGCCTGTAGAAAGCCCAGGAACTGAGAGCAGCTGGGGGGCTGCAGGGAAGGAGTCTGCAGTCACTCCCTGGGAAAAGGGAGGTGTGTTTGGGTCTATAGAAGCAATTACCCTACAGTTACTCCATGATAAGAGGGAGTTTGGGCTGGCAAATGCAGAAAGGTAGGAATGGCTCCGGGAAAAGCAGCAAGGGACAGGATAGGGCAGACCTTGGCTGCTAATGAGAAGGCCCGAGTTGGAACCCAGAGTAGAGGGTGCGTCCTGGTTCACCTACCAGCCACTGGGGAAGTGGCACAGACCAGGTAGTTGAGAGTGGACTGCTTGGGACAGTTTGCCCCGAAATACTTTGATACCCCAGAAGGGGGAAACATGCAGTGACCCAGCCTGAGGGCCAAGTCATGAAGAAGGAGCACCTGGAGTTGCAGAGATGGGTGGAAAGACCCCCACAGGGGACGCAGAACCTGGAAGGAGCTGATCACAAGAGCGGTCAGAAGGCGGCGCCCTAAAGATGAGCAGATCCCCATGACAAGGGGAACCCCCCCACACACAGAGTCCACCAATCCAGGAATGATAAAACAGACGTTGGCACGCAAATCACCTTGTCCAGATGATTTCAACTTGAGGTGTATACAGATGCTAGCCATGCAAGAAGCTTTCTGAGGTGCAGCCTGGTGTGTTGAACCACATAATAAATGTCATGTCACTCAGGATGCAGAGGAAGACCTATTGAGTCGGGGAATGACCCACAGTGTCCAGAATGGCCACTGATACTGGGCTGCGACCCAACCTTGGTTGGGCCATTGCCCCTTAGGAGGAAGAGGGGCAAGCCAGTGTTGAGACTGCTGCACTGCCCATGGTTCCCAAGTCTCTAATGGAGGGTATGTCCTCTGTCTTGGATGAGAGACAGACAAATGTACCTCTGAATCTGAAGAAGAAGCATCTGAACTGTCGGACATTGGGGTTGGGGGGCGGAACCAGTCAGTATCAGGGACAGGTACCCTAAGCCCTGGGGAAGGAGGTATTGGGGTAACCAGCAGAGGCTTGCCCTTAGACTGCACCAGCCTTTACAGAGGCTTGGTAGTTAATGGCACCATGAATTAGGAGCCACAGGCATTGGTACCAACTCTGAACCTTCTTGCACCACCAGGGATACCGGCACCGAGAAGCTAAGTCGCTTGTGGCTGCATACGCCTCCAGGGTAGATAGGAGTGGCAGTGGCTCTGACTCAGACCTTTTAGGGAACACCCTCGACGGACGTGGCACAGGCGTGGGAGGTAGCAATCCCTTCTTTTTAGGTGAAAATTGCTCCAGCAAGAGAGACTCTCCCCAGCATGTTTCCTAGCCTCTGCCTTTACTAGGCTTAGGCACAGACATGACCAAGCCCAGTACCAAGCCTGAGGAAGGTCAAAGCCTTTTCTTCAGTACCAGTGAGTGGGACCAGAGGCATCTCTGATGCTCTCTGCATCGAGAACGATGTACTCAAGGTGCTCTGTGTGTGCACTGAGTCCGACAGGGGCCAAAATGCTGCCTTCAGGAGTAGACACTTGAGCCTTCTGCTCTGTTCTTCAAGCAGAGCTCAGAACCCTTGCAGATTTGACATATCACTGATATGGGACTCTCCCTAACACTTTAAACAGGCTGGGTGTAGGTCACAGACCAGCATGTGTTAGTGCAACTTCAGCAAGACTTAAACCCTGGTGAGCATAGCATCGCTCTGGTATGGAAAAATGAAACACAGTCCAAAAGACCTATGACTAAAACTATCAGTAAAAACAAGCTAACAGCTAATTCCTAACAATAAGAAGCTATATATACAAAGGAGGGAAGCATTTACAATAACTAGTCTCACGTCCTTCTGACAACTGTCACTGGGGGAAGAAGGAACTGAGGAAGGTGAGGGGCAACTCCACCCTCTTATACCAGCACACAACAGCGTATGGCAACAGAGAGAGCTCAAGCCACCCTGATTGGTACTGCTGAGTGAAAAAGTTCTCCAATAACTGTGCC